GAGGCTGGGAGTGTAGCTTAGTTGTCAAGCACTTGACTAGTATACTTTAAACCCTGGGTTCACTCCCCAGCACACAAGAAAACACACAAAACAAAAGGACTCTGGAGAAGGTATAAAATATATGACAACTGCCACATACCTGTAATCCTAGCACTCTGTGAGACTGAGGCAGAAGGATCACAAGTTCAGCTGGGGCAATTTAGTGACTTAGCAAGACTCTGCCTCAAATAAAACATAAAAAAATAAATAAGGAAAGGGCTGTGCATGCAGCTTAGTGTGAAGGCACTGGGTTCACTTTTTTTTTTTTTTACTGGTACTGGGAATCGAACTCAGGACTTTGCACTTGCCAGGCAGGTGCTTATGCCGCTGAGCTATATCCCTGTCCCAAGGCCCTGGCTTCAATCCCTGGTACCAAAAAAAAAAGTATGCTAAGGGATAGCAGAATTATAAAAAGTATAAAACTTAAAAAGAATATGTAAGTCTATTCAATTATCTATATCTTCTAAGAAAAACATTTTTCAGCTTTTTAAAAAGGGCTCAAAAGAAATAGAACCCAGGGTACAGGTTCCTAACTTGCAGTCTATTTGTAAGGGCAAAATAGAGCTACTTGGGTGCAATGGTGCACGTCTGTAATCCCAGCACTCTGGAGGCTGAGGCAGGAAGATCACTGTGAGTTTGAGACCAGCCTGGGCTAAACAGAAAGACCCTGTCTCCAAAATAAACAAACAGCTAAAATAAACTACATTAAAACTTGTAGGAAAAAAAAAAGTATAATAAATGGTTCTCTACTCAATGGAAGAGACACAATATGAAAACAATAGGTAAATGTCAGGGATAAAAGTAGGACCCTAAACCTGGCACGTGCCTCGAATCTCAGTGCTCAGAGAGTGAAACAGGAGGATTACAAGTTTGAAGATAAATAAAAAATAAAAAATAAAAAAGTTTAAAGATTGCCTTGGCTACAAAATAAATTTAAGACCAACCTGGAGGGTTACATTGTCTCAACAAAACAAAACAAAAGTAGGGTGCTCTCTTTGTACCATCAACAGTACAATGAATAATCATATTATTATATATTCAATCATCAGTATATTTAGCAATGGCCAGTGAAATTTTATCTGTAAAGAGCCAGAAAATAAATACTGTAGGCTTTACCAGCCATCCAATCTGTTTTGGGATAAAAATTATATAATCATTATGGACAGTGACATTGGAATTTTACATTATTTTAAAGTGTCTCTATGGCCAGGGATATAGCTCAGTAGCATAAGCACCTACCTGGCAAGGGCAAGGTCCCAAGTTCGATTCCTGGTATCAAAAAAAAAAAAAAATTAACAACAATAAAGTGTCTCTAAATATTCTTCATAACTATTTAAAAATATGTTTTTAAAAAAATTTCTTAGCAGGGGCTGGGGATTTAGCTCAG